GCTAATAACTTCTACAAATATACTTCGAACCCTTTTTATCTTAAAGATCTTTTTTTTTTTTCCTTTTTTTTTGTCTTTTTTCGTGTCTGGCAACGGATTGCAACCCTCTGTGTCGCGCCCGTACCGGACTGGGACCGGCAACGGAATCGCAACCCTCAGTGCTGCTCCCACACCTCGCTCAGCCAGTGAGCGGGAACCGGTCTGTATGTGGGATCCGAACCCTCGGCGGGAGCGCCGCCACACTCCCAAGCGGCGCACTGTAGCAGTGCGCCACCAGGCCGGCCCTATTTTAAAGATCTTTAAAGTCCCTTTCTGACCTTTTCGGTGGCCAGTTTATATCTAAAAGCATGAGAATAAATTACTTTATCCCACCTTCAATTTTTGACTTGTTATGAGGTTAAAAACAACAGATTTTCAAACAGAATATCGTCTCTTATAGTTTCTTGTAATACTGCTAGAAACACAATATTTGAATTTGGAGACATTTTTGATCTGTTAACTTCTAGGCTTTCATTTTGCTCTGTGAAACAGAGTCTTTGATGCTGTTCTCCAAACTGCTTTTTTCCTTTTCTGTTTTTTTAGTCTAGCTAGGGGGTAAGATCTCTATAAGAATAATACTTAAAATGTCTATTTTTGCTGGAAAAAAATTAAAGTTACCAAAGCATTTCTATTGATCCAAGTTTTCAATTTTGCCTTGTCCTTTTTTACTGAAGAATCAAATTCTAAATCTGAGGCCAAAACAATTGATCAGCACTATATTTACATTTATATTTTTGTCTAATCATTTCTGTCTGTAAATTCATAGCTGGCAGGCATTCAGTTCATGAAGTGACACATGGCTGAGTAAGCCTAGAGGCCATGTGCCCATTTCCCTGCAGAACTGGGAGGGTATTCAGCACTTTTACTGCACTCCTTTGGAAGCCTTGACTAGGTAAGATATCCCAAGAATCCGGCCTGCCAGCTCTGTAAGAGTGGGTCACCCCAGAGGTGGCTTACAATGTGTTTCTATTATTCTCAATCAGTTTGGTGACTTCTCAGCATAATAATTTCTCAGCAGTTCGGTCAGCGTAATGGAAATGAGTAGGTGGGGACCTCTGGTTTGATTCATGATCTACACAATGTAAAATGGGCTCAATTAAATGTATCAAGAAACTTTTCTGATCTGGAGTGTCTTGTATATTTAAGGATTTTTTTCTTTCTTTTTTTAACCATCAATTAATCCACACTAGTACCTGATGATATTTGCTATTTTGAATGGAAGCCTGGCAATGACATAAAAATTCAATTTTAAGATATGGATGGCTGTCTGAGTCAACCAACCCATAGGAGAGATGCAGCTAGAAGATTGACTGGGCATTTGTAAGATCTGCCTTTTCCCACTCAGCTCTGTAAGGAGATCTTTATTTGGTCTATCGAGTTGATTGTTCTAAATCTAAAAAAAAAAAAGAAAAAAAACTTCTTTTACTAGGGACCTGACATGATATACCATAATGACTTAGAAAGAAACGTTAAACAGTCCATCCTGTCAACACTGGCTGCCGGGCGCCAACAGACCATGGCAGGTCTTTTTATCAGGTCAATGAGCTGCTAAAAATTGTCTAAGTAGGACCCTGCCATGATAGGCCATAGTGCCTCAGAGGAAGTCATTATAGACTATCAAGTAAACAATACACATTAAAAAAAAATTACTAATTAGGTTTTGCAGCAATACTTCGCATCCTTAGGGGCTCTACAGTGAGATAATTGACCGCAACGTGAGTTATGCCTCCCAAGCCGAAGGCGTGAAGGTTAATTATCATGGTGAACAGCCCCCAGCAAAGGGGATCATGGTGATGAGAGGATGACATTTCAAACATGTATTGATATTTTTTTAAATAAAACTTTTAGAAATGGTTTGATTAAAGGGCAAAGTGATGCAGTTACAATAACAGCAACCAGGATATAACTCCCCAGAGAGAGAAACAGGGTGCACTGGAGAAAGACATCAGGAAGCCTCTGATGCACTGAGAAGTTTGTCAGGATATTAATTGACTGAGAATTACTTCTTGAGGTATCTCTGAACTAGACATTCCTAAAATTACCTGTGATTCTTACAATATATCATGTCTCATCATTTTCATTGTATAGCTTTTAGTCTTCTGAGTTTGAATATATTAATTTATATGGAATAGAAAGTTAGATATTGAGTTTCTTTAGAGCATAGATTCATACTGTCCTGCTGCAAAAATGTAGTGTACATTTTTGAATAAATGGTATTGTCTGAAAGTTTCCTTTTAACTTGGAATTTATGATTAAAGATCTAATTGATCTCAGTGTAATCTACTTGAATGTTAAAAAAGATGTTAAGGTGAGAGGTTGTGTACAGAGATAAGAGAAAAAATCCTCTGGATTCCTTCTTAAATAACTCAATGGAGAAGAGGAAATAAGTTTCAGCTTATTGTTACTATCATATTGGAGAATTTGCTCAAGAGAATGTCCAGATATTAC